CAAGAAACGGCATGGCGTCAAGAAGCTTGCCTGCTTCGAGGTGGTTGTCGCAACCCGGAACCGTAAACCCAACCATCTACAAGGGTTTAGGGTTTAGGGCTTAGGGTTTAGGGTTTAGGGTTTAGGGTTTAGGGTTTAGGGCTTAGGGCTTAGGGTTTAGGGGTTAGGGTTTAGGGTTTAGGGGTTAGAGGTACAAGGCCTCAGACCCTAATTCCTGGAGTGAAGCCCTCAAGCCCTCCTGAACCCTAAGACCCTCGACCTTCTTACCCAACTCATACCTCACCTCCTTGAGTTGCACCCCTAAACCCTAAACCCCAAACCCTAAACCGTAAACCCTAAACCCCAAACCCTCAACCCAAAGTTCGAAACCTCTCAGATAGAAGTTCAAATGGGCCTCCTCTCTTCCTGACTCCCCCTGGACCCCAAACCCTAAACTAAACCCTAAACCCTAAACCCTAAACCCTAAACCCTAAACCCTAAACCCTAAACCCTAAACCCTAAACCCTAAACCCTAAACCCTAAACCCTAAACCCTAAACCCTAAACCCTAAACCATAAACACTACACCCTAAACCCTAAACCCTAAACCCTAAACCCTAAACCCTAAACCCTAAACCCTAGACCCTAGACCCTAAACCCTAAACCCTAAACCCTAAACCCTAAACTAAACCCTGAACATCCGGGGCTCGCAGAGATGGAGGGCTTCGGGCGCTCGGGATTTTTATAGGGTCTTCGGCGCTAAGGGCACCGGGCTGCTTTCTGATAAAAGAAACCTTAGACCCCATTGAGCCCTACAAACCCTATAAACCTGCATAAACCCCATATAAACCCCATATAAAACCCTAGATAAACCCCATGTAAAACCCCATATAAAGCCCCATATAGACCCCACACAAACCCCAGATAAACCCCATGAACCCAGCGAAAGTCGCTGCCAAACCGGAAGCCTTGAGCTGTGAATGCAAGGAAGCGCGAGCGGGTCAACTACAAGGGCAACATCAAGCCCTTCCTTTGGCGGGCCGCCAGGGTGCGCCAGCCACCGCCCCTGCCGCCTGGTGGGATTATGCTAGTTCGGTAATCAGGGAGTTGCGTGCACTGTAAAATGTGTGTGTGGGCATTTTGGGGCTTACTGGCAGCTACTCCATATTGTGTGTGTGTGTGTTTTTTTGAGAGGAGGGGGGGGGAAGCGGGAAGATCGAAACGTCGGGTCGTGTTTGGTACCCCCTGAAAAGCAAAGAGCACACGATCATGGTGACTCCATGCTTCCTTATAGGACAAGAACGACCAAGCAGAAGGGTAGAAGGGGCCATGAGAGGGGTCTTAGTGTGAAATTTAGTTTTCGGGTTTAGGGTTGAGGGTTTAGGGCGAAAAGTGAAAAGGGAGTCCATGCAGCTTCTCTGGCTCAGAGCTGGAAGTCTTTGTGGGTTTAGGGCGAAAAGTGAAAAGGGAGTCCATGCAGCTTCTCTGGCTCAGAGCTGGAAGTCTTTGTGGGGCTCTGAGGGTCGCTACTGAGGGGAAAAACATGAGCTTGACGGCTTTGGGCCGAGAATGCGACGTTAGGGTTTAGGGTTTAGGGTTTAGGGTTTAGGGTTTAGGGGGGGGGGGGGGGGGGGGGTCTGGTGCCCGATAGGGAGAAAACCTTGAAACTAAAAACTGCTGGAGACGGCTGGGGCCTGGTGCCCCGATAGCAAAAAGTGCAGGGGGAGGAAACTTTGAAACTAAAGCCTGCTGGAGACGGCTGGGGCCTGGTGCCCGATAGCAAAAAGTGCCGGGGGAGGAAACCTTGAAACTAAAGCTTGCTGGAGACGGCTGGGGCCTGGTGCCCGATAGCAAAGAGTGCAGGGGGAGGAAACCTTGAAACTAAAGACTGCTGGAGACGGCTGGGGCCTGGTGCCCGATAGCGAAGAATGCAGGGGGAGGAAACCTTGAAACTAAAGACTGCTGGAGACGGCTGGGGCCTGGGTCCGATAGCAAAGAGTGCAGGGGCAGGAAACCTTGAAACTAAAGACTGCTGGAGACGGCTGGGGCCTGGTGCCCGGTAGCAAAGAGTGCAGGGGGAGGAAACCTTGAAACTAAAGCCTGCTGGAGACGGCTGGGGCCTGGTGCCCGATAGCAAAGAGTGCAGGGGGAGGAAACCTTGAAACTGAAGACTGCTGGAGACGGCTGGGGCCTGGTGCCCGATAGCAAAGAGTGCAAGGGGAGGAAACCTTGAAACTAAAGACTGCTGGAGACGGCTGGGGCCTGGGTCCGATAGCAAAGAGTGCAGGGGCAGGAAACCTTGAAACTAAAGACTGCTGGAGGCCTGGTGCCCCGTAGTAAACAGTGCAGGCGGGGAGAAGCCTTGAAACTAAAGACTGCTGGAGGCGGCTGGTGTTGTCCGACAGCAAAGAGTGCAGGGGCAGGAAACCTTGAAACTAATTTTTCAAGCATTTCCATGCTTGAGAATCAGCCATTTGGCTGCATTTCCGATCCTTTTTTAGCCATTTTGGAGCATTATCAAGCATTTCGAGCACGTTTAACTCCTAAACCTTAAACCCTAAACCCTAAACCTTGTTGGGACTTGGTGCTCGATAGCAAAGAGTGCAGGGGGAAGAAACCTTGAAACTAAAGACTGCCAGAGACGGCTGAGGCTTGGTGCCCGATAGCAAAGAGTGCTGGGCTGGGCCTTGTAGAGGGTCTTGGAAACTATGTGGGTCCCTCTTGCAGGGCTTTGTTGGAGGGTCTTGGAAGGCCATGTTGGTCCCTCTTGAGGGTCTTGGAAGCTATGTTGGCCCCTCTTGGAGGGTCTATTCCCAAAGTATTATGCTACATTGATTAGGAGCTTTCTTGTATGCTCTTCTGTTGTTTTTTTCGCATGAGGCTTGGATGTTGTTTTATTTTTAGTTTTTCCATGTTGGTTAGGGTTTGCTTGCCTCGGAAGAACTTCTGGCGGGGCGCGGCCTTTTGAAGGAGTTCACGAATTTTGTGCAGTTTAGGGTTTAGGGTTTTTTCGATGCTCTGCGTTGCGCTAAAGGGTTCCTTCTTCATGGGGTTCTACCTTGGACCCCTAAGGTTGTACCGGGACCGTATATAGGGGCCATATGAGGCCTCGACTTCTACTAGCGATTGGCGATTGTGTATACATAAAGATATGCTACCCCCCCCCCCCCCCCGGCCCACCCTCATAAACCTAGGTTTGCATTTTCAAGCCCTAAGCTCAAAACCCTAAACCCATATACATACATATATATATATATGTTCATAAGCTATATGTATATATATATGATATTACGTACGGCATGATCCGATGCAACTTCATTCAGATTCCTGAGGGAAAAGCCAGCCAGCTTCAATCCCTATAAACCTCTTAGGCTCTTAGCAACTGTCAGAGGGTTTCAAGGGCCCTGAATATGGTCCCCAACCTCCTCTCCAGGGTTCTGATGTGTGCGCTTTGACTTTATACAGGGCATATAAGGGGTATATAAGGGGCACCCATTTCAGGGCCCATACTAAGGGACCATGTAACTACCCTAAAACACCCCAAACCCCAAACCCCAAACCCTAAACCCTAAACCCTAAACCCTAAACCCTAAACCCTAGAGAAACTGAGCCGAGGCTGGTAAATCAGGAGGGAGGGGACATTGCGGACCGTCAGCTGTCGGCCCGGCCCTACTTCTTCCGTGGCGTCTCACACTGGCTCCTTGGATTTAGGGTTTAGGGTTTGGGGGCTGGGGTTTAGGGTTTGGGGTTTGGGGTTTAGGGCTTGGTTTAGGGCTTAGGGTTTGGGGTTTGGGGTTAAGGGTTTGGGGTTTGGGGTTTATGGTTTGGGGTTTGAGGTTTAGGCCACCGGTTTGGGGCGTTTGGCTGTTGCAGCGTACAGCTCGTGCCTTTACTTCTCGCTGACTTCGTCCATGGGGGAAGTCAAGAAGATGCCGTCCTCCTTGCTCCCCTAGGCCCCAAACCCTAAACCTTAAACCCTAAACCCTAAACCCCCATCCCAACCTCTGAAGCTGAGGCTTTTCCCGAGCCGGCGTGGTGGCTTCCATAGCTTGAAGCGCACCGCTCGGGGGCAGTGGGTTGGGGTTCTCCGGAAGTACCAGCTGCATGAGGCAGTGAGACCGAAGCAGTAGCGAGCCAACGCGAACGTGAAGTATTTATGCACTCATTTGTGTACGTAGATGTTTGATTCCCTAAGGGTCCATGTACCTCATAATTGTATACTTGCGCTCCGTATATAGGAGGTACTTTAAGGCCCAAGTATTCCCTACTTAGGTACATGGACCCTTGGGGATTACCTGCTATCTATCATCTACCGTATGCAAATACTTCGCGGAATGCTCGTTGAACCGATCCCCAGCGGTCGGAACGAGAGCGTCTGGAGTAGACGCCGGGCCACAGAAACAAAAAGACGGATGCAGTCTTCACAATTTTAGTAAAGAATTACCAAGGCTTGCAGCAGTCAGATTTGCATTGCGGCTTTTGGGCCAGTCTGATTGAGAGTTTAGGCTTCAGGGTGTCGGGCAAGTGAGTTCATAACTCCGGTGGGTATGCCCAGGTCCTTGAGGATCTCGCACCTTTTGCTTTGGAACACCCGCCTACAGCACTATGGGCGAGTGAGTAAGTAAGTATCCCAAGGATATGTTCAACCTGGATTAGAGGCTAAGCCAGAGGGTCCATTTGTACCACTACTATGGAATTAGGTACACAAAAACCATACCAAATAGGGTTTTGGGGTACCAAATTCCGTAATGGCACAACAAATGGACCCTCTGGGCTAAGAAAAGCAAGGCACCCCACCCCCGCGTGACTCTCAGAACCGCCGGAATTACTTGTTTCCGGGCTACAAAGAGAAACCCTGCACTGCTTCCAAACCCTAAATCCTAAACCAAGATGGCGTCCTTGCCTCCGGCAGTTCCATACTAACAATGACAGGACGTTAAGGGTAGTTTCACGGTCCTAAACACTGAGCCCTAAACCCTATACCCGAAACCCTACACCCTATACCCTAAACACCGAAGACAGGAGCTTCGGCGAGCGGAGACGGTGCCTGAAGAAGCGGAGTTTGGACATATTGAGGCACGGTTGTTGGGTTTAGGGTCTAGGGCTTAGGGTTTAGGGCTTAGGGTTCAGGGTTTAGGGCTTAGGGTTTAGGGCTTAGGGCTTAGGGCTTAGGGTTTTAGGGTTTTAGGGTTTCGGGAATCGAGGCATATCGAGGCATGGTCGGTTGGACTGTTGTTGCTTGCGGCTTTAAGCCTTGCACATGTCGGCTCAGGGGAGTGATTCCTTGCAAAATCGGCGCTGTGCCCCTGGTTCTTGGCAGGAAATGAGGGAATTGGGGCCCTATATATAGCCTTTAAGGGATTATGTACGGTACCTCATTCCCTCATTCCCTACTAAGAGCCAGCCAGTTTTAAGAAACTTAAGATTTGGTCTTCAAAGGACGATGAGCTCAGGTTTAGATCATGGTAGGTGTCGGTCTGCATGCGCGTAATTAAGTAGGCCACGAACTATATGACATTTTTGTGTTCTGCATGAACATAGAGCTTAGGGGTAGAAAGGGAGGACCCTATCATTCGGAAACGCTCATATCGCGTTACTGTCGGTTCTTGTCGAGGGTGCCTGTTTGTTCCAATTCTAAGATTCCTTCTGCAAGGTACCCCGAAGAGGGATCCCAATTTGTAGCCCCTCCCTCCTCTCCCCTAAACCCTAAACCCTAAACCCCGTTAGAACAAACCTTGACCTCACTCTCGAATCACCACGCTGACTCGGCATTCTGCATCCTATATAGGGGTTACACCGCCCCAGAAAGGCGAAAGGTGCTCGGCTACAGAGAGAGAGAGAGAGAGAGAGAGAGAGAGAGAGAGAGAGAGAGAGAGAGAGAGAGAGAGAGAGAGAGAGAGAGAGAGAGAGAGAGAGAGAGAGAGCGAGATATATATATATATACACAGAATATATAAATAAATAAATATATATATATATATATGTATTATTATTATTATTATTATGATTACTATTATTACGATTATTATTAGTATTATTATTGTTATTATTATTATTATGATTACTATTATTACTATTATTATTAGTATTATTATTTTTGTTATAATTATTATATTTATAGACATATATATCTATATACACGTATTTGTATGTTTTTGTTTCTTCAAAGCCTGTCGGCCGAGCCCTTCACGTCACAAGGAGCTCCGCCGAAAGATGGCCCAACAGGCATCGGGAGGGGTTTAGGGTTGAGGGCTGGGGGAGGATATGGGCCGGACAGGATCCTGGAAACTTAAAGAGCCACCCGAAAACCATGCCTAATCCCTAAACCCTAAACCCTAAACCCTAAACCCTAAACGCCCTACAAACCCCAAACCCTAAGCATGCCCCTATCCCCCTTCCAGACCCTTGCGTGCAGTAGTCGTTCATTTTTTGTCAGGGCCACGCCTCTTCAGGGTTTGGGTTTAGGACATCACAGCTCGAAGGACTCTGATTTCAGGCTTTCTGTGGGGATCCGAAGATCGCAACGATAGTAATGTAAGGCTTCGGGGTCTGTGCTCCTTCGCCTCCGCAGCTTCTTCATGAGGGCCGTCTTTTAGACATCGGTTTCAAAGGGTTTCTGTATAGGGTTTCGGGCAAGCAGATTTCTGCTAAACCTGATTTGCGAGGCCAATGTTTGGCACGTGGGGTTTAGCTGATTCGTACCCCCTAAGGCCCTAAACGCTAAACCAGATACCCTGAGAGCGCCAACCCTTCGACACAAAAATCGCTGAATCTCAGGACCTCTTGATGAAGGTTCATGGGTACTTCTAAGTAGGTTCATAACTTGTGTATCCTAAATAAGGTTCTAACCCTGGTTACCCTGCTTAGAACCCTACTTCTAAGCACCTTAAACCTTAAACCTAAGGCAAAGCTTAAGCCCTAAGCCCCTTAAACCCTACTTCCAAGTACCTCTTTGAACCTCCGAGTTTGGTCCTTAAGCTCAATCCGTTCAAGTCACGCAAGGCCGAACTCATAGCTGAGCAAGCGAGGGAAGTGACAAGGCCCAGTTCTTGTAGGGTTCAGGGTTTAGGGTTTAGGGTTTAGGGTTTAGGGTTTAGGGTTTAGGGTTTAGGGTTTAGGGTTGCCCTGATATGGCTAATCGTACTGTCATTGCAGTGGAGTGCTTTGGTGGCAGTGCTTTTGTATATCTGGAGTTTCCAAGGCCAATCGGTGATTCAAGCATTGATGTCAAGAATGCTCACTTGGGCTCTGCAAAAATCCGGAGAGCATGTTGTAATGCATGCTACTGGAAGCATGTCAGGGCCAGATCTCGAGTTCAGAATGTTAGAAGCTATGATGAACCAGACAGTGGGAACAACCAATTCGCATCAAGGTGACGCTCATTCTAGAAGTAGTTTGTGGCAGCTCTGCTACTCCAGTCTGTACCAATCCTTGCTTAGCATCACCACACAACTGCTGTGGTCATCGGGACGTCAAATGTTTAGATGAATTTTGACAGCATCTCAGCTCAGCGTGTGAACAGAAAATGCCTTGCTCGCGAAATTTATATGTCCAAGAGTTAGTACCAGACCGCTTCTTCGAAGTAAGAAGTGTCCCGGGATCACCCAAGCCGCGCTCACAGTATCCCATGGACGGCGGACGGTCTGCAAAAGGTCAGGCGCGAGTATGTGCTTGAGAGAACTAGGGTTCCGGCGTTCCGCTTCCGGACTCCTCCCGAGTTGAGTCAACGGTGAACGCTGTCACAATGAGCATTTCTTTTCGCATCACACTCCTTGCACGGATAACTTTTCACGGCTGCAAGATTGCGATCTTGTTCTGCTGGTACTTTAGTGTGTGGCTGCTAGGGTTGCAACCTGGCCCCGCCAACAACTCACACCTTCGCAATATCAGTCAGTTAAATTCACTCCATATTCCTCATGTCAGTTGGACTGCTTCGCGTCGCAAGCACAAACGCACGCGCCCACGGACGCGTACTTTGAGACACATGGCCATGAAAAGACTTCGCAGGTGGGTCCTCCCTGTTGCGTCACGCCACTTCCAAGAATGGTTTAGACAGGTGCTGCTCCTGTTGCTATGTCCTCGCAGAGCTACTCAGGCTCTTACACGGCATTCCTTGTCGAGTGCGGAACGCTTGGCTCCAGAACATGCTTCTTCAGAGTTGCCTGCTAAGCCTTCTCGCTGTGCTCCGTGTCGTGTCGAGTTTGTTGGTTCAAATCTCGCTGCGTTGTCTCAAGCCGACATGACGTCACGCATCCTATCAGGCCTTGATGCATGGTGTGATGGTCTTGTACTGCCCCACCTTCAGGTCCAGCAGTGGACGGCGGATTTGAGACTTGCAAAACCTGCGTGCGCCACCAGGCCACACAACGCAAAAGTAATGGACACGATTCTGCGTGTCGCTGCATGCGTTGGGCAGTTGGTTGAGATGCGCTCTGTCGCTTGGGAACATATTCAAAGCTTGAACGTTGTGTTGGAGGCGTTGTGCTTTTGGATTTTTCCGACTTCTCTGCGCACCAAGAGGTCAACTTCTTTGTCCTCAGACCTTTTGTTCCTTGCTTGTGGAAGCTTGAAGCTTGTCCTCATAACTGCTTGGCAGGCTCAAGGTGGCTGCAGGAAACGCCGCCGGGCGGTCAAAAGATGCTTGGGTCTGCCGCCCGACGTGTTCAATGCTTTTCTCGCAAGCAAGAGTTGGACTGCGGCGTCGAAGACAGCGTTTGTCCAGTTTGTTAGCTTGCAAGCCTTTGCGGGCGTTTGCGAGCAACCTGATGCTGCGGTTCTGTACCAGCTTTCTTCGACCTTTTTCAACTATGTTGGGTCGACTAAATTTGGGGTCCAGCGACATCGCTGCCAAGGTTCTTCGCCAGTAAACCGTGCTTACCAGCATATACTTGAACACTCCTGCCTTCAAACTCCTGCCTACGCCGGTCCTCCTGTGCTCAGACAGAAATGCCGATTGTTCCGTCATGCCAGGCTCTCTGACCACATGTTTTGGGTGTTGGCCCAGGGTCCAGAAACCTACATTCGGGCCTTGGAAGAGGCAAGCATAGCATGTTTTCAGCAGCAGGGCAACAGCAAATCCATTGGTACTAAGTCTGTGCAATGTGCTCGGCGCTCCTGTGCCTCTCGCAGGAACCGCGCGCGTCCGCACCGCAGAGCCGTCTCGTCAGACATTGTTCACGCGCACGCTGTTCGTTTTGATGTGTGGCATCGTGCCCAACACCGCCTACATGCACGTGTGTGCACGCTACAAGACAACCCCCTGCAGGTTCAGCGACATGTCCTTTACAAAGTTGGGTTTTCTGTTGGGTATAAGATTGCCCTACAGAACATGCTGCTCTCGGGTTTAGGCTATGGTCCGGTTGATGTTGTGAGAGCAGATATGGCAGGCCTGCTGACACGCTACATCGCAGACACAAAGGACCCATGTTGGGAAAGTCTGCACCAGCGGCTCAAATCTGTCTGTTCCTTTGCCACTACGCAGCCAGAGGCCGCGTGCGCAGTTCATCTTGCCAAGCACGTTCGAGCCATGCCACCTGGTAGCGCAAAACTGCGGGCTCAAAAACGGATGTCCCTCCATCTCGCGTGTTTCGGCCTTGTTCCTCTCAGACGTATCTGTGTTGCGTGGCCGGCGCAGATTCCCATTTGGGTTTTCAGGCAAGTCGCGCAGCTCCTGCAATCCGAAGCTCGTCTCAGGGCCAATGTTCACGGAGTGTGGTTTGCTTCCTTGCTGCAACCCGTCAAAGCCAAAAGATGCACGTTTGCTGACCGCTGGCGTTACATCCAGGTTGCACAGAGATTCAGCAATGCCTTCGCTACGTGGCCACTCCACAAACTGAAGCCGTCTCCCGCTGATTGCCGTCAGATGCGTAGGTTCAAACTGCATTGGAAGGTTCCTGTTTGGCAGTCACAAGAGGCTTTGTTGCAGGAGGCTTCGCAAACAGTGCATTGGCTTGCCAGTAAGATGCGGTGTAACCCACCCCTTGCCTTTTGCGCACGTGTGTTCCCGACAGTGTGTAAGGCAAAGCTGCCTTCCGGTCTGTACTCTGCCTATTGCGCCAAATTCCCACGCAATTCCTCGGCCGAGGTGCTTGTGCAAGAAGATAAGGATAAGCATGCTGCCTGGTCGATGCCTGTCCCCATCTATGAGAGATGGTGTTTCTGGATGTTCCGCCAAGACCCCTTGCACTGGCAACCCATGCATGGTGACGCGCAGAGCATTTGTGAAGAGTACAGGCAGTTGCATTTGCGTTTGTTGCCCCAACACCTCAAAAGGTTCGCGTCCCGCGAGCGCTGGCGTAGCTTCAAACTACCCTACGCGTACTGCACGATTAAATCTAAATGTTTTCATGCAGCTGGTGATGTCTCGCACATTTGCACAAAACGTGGACACTCATGCTTCCGCAGAATAATCTCTTGGCGTGCGCACCCTGCCAGTCATATGTACAAGAATGCTGGACGAGCAATCCTAGGGATCATTTCTGAGTTAGCAGTAGGGTTTGAAACTGCCAATCTTTTCTCTGCAGTGAAGGACTTTCGCTCTGCAGTCAACAAGCTCACGTGTTGCAGCGATTTGTGTGTGCGGTGCAGGGAGCCAAAACCGACCTTATCGATATGTGTATGTGACGCTGCCCAAATGTACGAAGAGCTAGACCCCTCGAGGATTCGTCAGTCTGTCCTTGGCTTGATCGAACTGCTAAAAAACGAGCGGCCCTCTGCCGTCGGCATTGTGGTCGCCAGGTCCAGACATTTGCGCACCTGGGTTGCTACAAATGACTTTCGTCACAGAGCTGCCTCTACAGTGTGGACTTGGTCAGACATCGTCTGTGTGCTTGATCTCGCTCTGCAGCAGCGGGTCATTCGGCTGGGAAAGGCACTGTTCCGCCAAGTAGTAGGTGCCCCCATAGGGGGTCAGCTTTCCAAGGCAATCGCTTCCGCAGTTCTTGCCTTTGAGGAGTTCAGTGCCTGCAATAAACTCTTGGTGCTCAGAGCCTCTGGGTTTCTGCCTTCGGCTGCAAACGTTCTTTCTGATGCTGTTGCCAACACAAGGTATGTTGATGATCTTGCTATGGCCTCGCAAGTTCTGTGCACCTCTTGCTTGCATAAACTCACTAAGCTTTTGTGTGCCCAACCTGTTGCTTTTGAACCCGCCACGCGCGAAATTCTAGGGTTTCCCTGGTTAGATGTTTGGTTGGATAGTGTAGGGGGGTCACTTACAGTTACTGCAGCTGGCCTTGAACAGGCTTGGAGGGAAGCTGGTGGTGCAGGTGCTCCCAAAAAGTTCAGGGTGGTTCCATGGCTTGGTGATCATCATACTGATCTTTCGGAAGTAAGGGGCATTGTGGCAGGGAAGCTTGTCAGATGGAAATCTTTGCAGTTGGAACAGGAGTGCCTTGAGGCCACAGTTCGGGCAGAACTGTTGGTTTGGGCTCTTAGTGGCTATCCAGCTCAACAGCTCCGTAAAATCTGGGGCCGCTTGCCTCACTTCCCCAAGGCATCACACATTGCTTTGCGGACTCTGGATGATTGGTCAAACAGCGGCCTGCCCACTTGCGTTCGGTCTAGTTGGTTACTGTAGCTGCTGCTTTGGTGCCATTGCTGCAGCGCGCGAACCTCTTCATGCTAACTTTTTTGGTTTGTTTTCTTGGGTTTTTGTTTTCATGTTGTAGTCACTTGCCATCGCGGAGACTTCAACCGTTTGTTGGCCCTAGTCTGGTTCTTTGGTTGCTGTTAGGCCTTTCCTTCCGCAGTGGGTGTTTGCAAGCTTCCTGCAGCCATGCCTGAGTGGCACTCCCGTCGTCATGACCAGCCACACTCAAGCTCATACCACACGCCGCGGGGACAGTGGTATGGGCATGGTGGCAAAGGTGGTGGCAAAGGCCACGGAAAGCATCACGGCTACTCACAGCGCTTCAGCCCCTACAGCAACGGCCGGGGAGGAGGACTGGAACAGGCAGTTTCTCGTTCCTTCCAGACTGCGCTTAGCTCAACGCTGGAGTGTGCCATTTCTGAAGGCTTTGCAATGCTCACCTCCAGGTTGACCAACGGTGTGGAGCAGCAACAGCTGCAGCAACACAGCTCTCCCCCTGCCAGAGCCGGCAGTGCGCTTACTCGTGCGGTTGTGGGCCTCTTCGGTGGTGCGAACAAGGAGACTGCGGAGCCCAAGCCTCCTTTGCCACAGTCTACCAGCCCAGAGGCCCAAGACGCCAATAACGCAGCACTGCAGATGGCTCTTGAGCAGCAGTCCCAAACCATGCAGTTCATGATGGAGTTCATGAAGTCCTCACAGGAGAAGAGTGGTGATGCTGGGGTGCCCACAGTCGTTGCGGCTGACAACACAGAACTTGACAAAGATGCGGCGATCAAGCAGTTGCAGGCGCAGGTTGCGGGTTTGGCAAAGCAGCTTGCTGAGAAGTCTGGCAAGGCAAGTGCTCCGACGGCAGGCAAGAACCTCCGCCAGACTGAGCTCCCTTTCAAGCCAGCTCCCGGCAACTGACTAGGATTCTGCAGATATTCGCCCACCCTTCGGGCTGTCGCCAAATGGTTGGGTCGTTTTGGCACAGATGCCCTGATATGGCTAATCGTACTGTCATTGCAGTGGAGTGCTTTGGTGGCAGTGCTTTTGTATATCTGGAGTTTCCAAGGCCAATCGGTGATTCAAGCATTGATGTCAAGAATGCTCACTTGGGCTCTGCAAAAATCCGGAGAGCATGTTGTAATGCATGCTACTGGAAGCATGTCAGGGCCAGATCTCGAGTTCAGAATGTTAGAAGCTATGATGAACCAGACAGTGGGAACAACCAATTCGCATCAAGGTGACGCTCATTCTAGAAGTAGTTTGTGGCAGCTCTGCTACTCCAGTCTGTACCAATCCTTGCTTAGCATCACCACACAACTGCTGTGGTCATCGGGACGTCAAATGTTTAGATGAATTTTGACAGCATCTCAGCTCAGCGTGTGAACTGCACATGCCTTGCTCGCGAAATTTATATGTCCAAGAGTTAGTACCAGACCGCTTCTTCGAAGTAAGAAGTGTCCCGGGATCACCCAAGCCGCGCTCACAGTATCCCATGGACGGCGGACGGTCTGCAAAAGGTCAGGCGCGAGTATGTGCTTGAGAGAACTAGGGTTTAGGGTTTAGGGTGAGGCCCCAAATGCATGATTTAAGTTTATTGGTTTGAACATCTGTAAATGTTCGTCTTATTGTTTTCGGGCATTGTATTTGTTTTTATCAAAAGTAAGTCGGCCATGATGTACTTGCCATGTGTTGCACAATCTGCCATCAATACAACCATTGGGTATATCAATAGCACATCCAGAGGACACATCTCATGAGTTCCAACCAATGTGAGTTGTTGTGTTTAGCGTTCAGGGGCAGCTTCTTCGGGTGGGGACTTCGCAGTCGGGTTCTGAACCCCATGGCTCCAAGCCCTAAATGCCCTGAAGAGCCCTAAAAGCTCAATATTTTTGTTCTTACGGTTCGTAAGGCTGTTCTTCAGCTTCTTGCCCAAAAGCTCGAAATCCCTGAGCTCTAGGCCCTCGGGCCGAGACACTGGACCAACCGTAAAGCCCTAAAACCCCAAACCCTAAACCCTTTAACCCCTATCCCCTGAGCCCTAAACCCGAAACCCTAAGCCGTAAGCCCTAAAATCTTCGTGGTGCTTTACTGCAACTTTAGATCCTTAGCCTTTTTGGGTTTAGTGGGTTTCGCAGTAAGGCACCTAAAAAGTTCATTTATAGCTACCCTCCTCAGTGCAGCCAAGAATAGGGTTTAGGGTTTAGAGTTGCAGGCGGTTTTCAGACAGCTTCCAAGCCAGCGCCAATGCCGAGGAGGACCCTGAGATCGAGTTTCGGGGTTTAGGGTTTAGGGTTTTAGGGTTTAGGGTTTAAGGTTTAGGGTTTAGGGTTTTAGGGTTTAGGGTTTTAGGGTTTAGGGTTTTAGGGTTTAGGGTTTAGGGTTTAGGGTTTAGGGTTTAGGGCTAAACATGGGGTGTCCCTACAAGCATCCACGCCCCGCAGATAGACAATTCTCGAAAGCAACTTGGCCTGTCTGGGCCCTAAGCCCTAAACCCTAAACCCTAAACCCTAAATCCTAAACCCTAAACCCTAAACCCTAAACCCTAAACCCTAAACCCTAAACCCTAAACCCAAACCTTGAAACGTAATCGGTGCCCTCCCCCTCACCGAAGCCCTGAACCCTAATCCATGAACATTGCGCCATCTTCCCTTACATGGAGGCTCATGGGTACTCATAAGTAAGCTTATTTCGGGTACTTTGAAACCATATACTTAAGAGGTACCCTAACTCAACCCTGAACCCTAAACCCTAAACCCTAAACCCTAAACCCTAAACCCTAAACCCTAAACCCTAAACCCTAAACCCTAAACCCTAAACCCTAAACCCTAAACCCTAAACCCTAAACCCTACTCAGGGTTAGGGGTCGTCCATTTGAAGGGAAGGGTACCACACCCTGACCTGACCCCTTTACCCTGAAAGTTCGGGGCCCGAATTCCTTAAACTGCAACCCGCGGGCCCGAAATCCTAAACCGGAAACCCTCGCCGGTAGACGTATCCTGTTCTGTGCACCTCCAGTCGTTTTCAGGGGGATTTCCCGAAGCCCTGAACTCTAAACCCTAAACCCTATACCCTAGACCGCAATGTCGCCTTGTATGAGCCCAGAGTAGTGTCAACAGGCAACGTACCTTGCCCTCGTTGGGCATGCTTGTTACGGCACAGGGACACACCCTAAACCCTAAACCCTAAACCCTAAACCCTAAACCCTAAACCCTAAACCCTAAACCCTAAACCCCAAACCCTAAACCCTAAACCCTAAACCCTAATCCCTAAACCCGAGCATTTCGGGAATGCAATGTTTTAGGGAGCCGGCCTTGCCACACTTCGGGCTCAAGGCGTAGGATGGCTCTAAGGGTAGTTCTATAGGCCCTGAATATGGGCCCTCAGGGTTTAGGGTTTAGGGTTTAGGGTTTAGGGTTTAGGGTTTAGGGTTTAGGGTTTAGGGTTTAGGGTTTAGGGTTTAGGGTTCAGAGGTTGGAGATGAAAGCCATGTCCTAAACACTAATAACCCCGAATCCTAAGCCCTGACACGCCGACAAACCCGCAATCACTTCATGGGTGTAAGGTTTAGGGTTTAGGGTTTAGGGGGTTTAGGGTTTAGGGTTTAGGGTTTAGGGTTTAGGGTTTAGGGTTTAGGGTTTAGGGTTTAGGGTTTAGGGTTTAGGGTTTAGGGTTTAGAGGTTTCCAGGGTTGAGGGGGTTTAGGGGCTTTAGGGGGTTAAGTGTTTAGGGTTTAGGGCAAGATGCGCAAGAAAAACCTTGGCCCCAAAGCCACGTTGCCATGTCGCCATGGTTCATGTTGCGACGGAGCCCCAAATCAAACGTCCCGACAAGCTCTTGGGGGTGGTTGGTTTTGGGTTTAGGCCTAGGATTCAACGTTTCGTTGAAGTCGTACGGCCTTTGTTTGTCCTCAGCTCCTGTCCTGACTCGTGCTGCTATATAGGACGTGCCAGCTGCCACTGGGCGAGGTCCATCATCGGAGTCAGCAGGGGACCTCCAGCGGTGCCGGGTGTGTCCAGGAATGAGGCTCTATAGGATCTGCGAGTAGACAGTACTTTGGGCGTTCGCACGTAGGATCCAGCTGGTCGAGCGTGGGCGGTAACATCAACAGTCGCCTTTAGGGTTTTTCGGTTTAAGGCTAATATGGAGTTCACGGTCTGGGGTCCAGAAAGGTGAATCGCTTTCAGTGTAAGAGTGGATGTCCAAGGCTTTATGGGTGGCTTCCTGGCGTCGGGTTTGGATTCTTTGGGGGCCTTTTGGAAAATGGCTCGGGGTTCAGGGTTTGGGGCTTAAAGTTTAGGGTTCAGGGTTTACGGGTTTGGGGTCCTTTAGATCTTGTGGGAGCACGGGAGACTGGGAATCCGACGCAATTTCTGAGAGGGATTGCTGGCAGTGGAGGGGTTTCTCAGTGCTAATTACTTGCTGCGAGCTTGACCCACAATTAAAACCCGATACCCGAAACCCGACCTTAAGCCAGGCCGAACAAGGCTTAGGGTTCAGCGTTCAGTGCCCCTAAAGGGTTCAGGGCGGCGGACAATCTTCCAAAAAAGCCCGACAAGCCCCTAAAAGGCACTAAGCCCTAAGCCCTAAACACCTTGTTGCCCCTAAAGCCCAAAAGCCTTCAAGCCCGAAGCCTTAAACCCAAAGTCGTTGCATATCTGAGCGTGCTCTCCTGCCCTAAACCCAAAACCCAAACTCTAAACCCTAAACCCCAAACCCTGAATCCTAAACCCTAAACCCTAAACCCTAAATCAGGTCGAAAGCAACAGCAGCGAGTCTGCAGACGAGGAGCACTTCTCGTAATGTGGGATCCTGGCGCTGACTCTAGGGTTTAGGGTTTTGGGCTTTAAGGGTTTAAGGGTTTAAGGGTGTAAGGGTTTAAGAATTTAAGGGTTTAAGGGTTTAAGGGTTTAAGGGTTTAAGGGTTTAAAGGTTTAAGGGTTAAGGGTTTAAGAGTTTAAGGGTTTAAGGGTTTAAGGGTTTAAGGGTTTAAGGGTTTAAGGGTTTAGGGTTTCGGGTTGTCGGGTTTAGGGCTTCAAGGCATTTAACGGGGGGGTTTTAGGGCATTAGGGTCTTACGGTTGCCGTTTCTTTGTCTCCGTTGCTGCATCCACTGGAAACATGCTAATTCCGCATGCGTTGTCGCCCCTAAACCCTATACCCTAAACCCTTAACCCGAAACCCTAAACCCTAAACCCTAAACTGGCCCTAAACCCTAAACCCTAAACCCTAAACCCTAAACTGGCCCTAAACCCTAAAAACCCTAAACCCTAAACCCTAAACCCCCCCAGATGGACTCGGCCGGTGACAGGAAGTGCGAACGAGACAGACTCTTCCCAACGAGGCTCAGCATGCTCACCGCAAAACAAGAAGCTGGCTTCTGGAACCCTAAACCCTAAACCCTTTTTCCTAAACCTTAAATCCTAAACCCTAAACCCTAAACCCTAAACCCTAAACCCTAAACCCTAAACCCTAAACCCTCCAAACAAGCCGTAGAACCCTGAAGCCAGCCCTGTGCTGGTTGCGAGGTGGATGCCTGGAGTCGTGCTTCCGAGTCCATGAGCCAGGTTGCTGGGTTTAGGGTTCAAGGTGTTCAGGGTTCAGGGTTTAGGGTTTAGGGTTCAGGGAGTTGCGGTCTAGGGGTTAGGATGTCGGGTTTAGGGCTTGGGGTTTAGGGTTTTCAGGTGAGGAGTTTAGGGTTTTTGTCAGGGATTGGGGTTTAGAAGTCTAGGGTTTCTGGTTGTGGGGGTTTTGGGTATAGAGTTTTTGGATTTAGAGTTTTGGGTTCAGGGTTATAGGGTTTAGTTTGCAAGGTCTTTTTGTCCAGAGTTTTGGGGGTTCGGATACCAGGGTTTGTGGGTCATGCGCATGAGTGCAAGCTATGCGTGCAAACGCGAGTTGCATGGGGTAGAACTTCGCCGTGAGCGTACGGTAAGGATTGGTCTCTGCGCCATGACACGGAGTGATTGCCAGCCTTGCAAAGTTTGCTCCTGCGCCTAGCACGTTGTGGATTGATGGCTTGTGCATTCAATGCCCATCGAGTGGGATGTTGCCCCTTATACTAACAGTCTTTCATGGGGATTATGGTGAGGGTACTATAGTCTCTACTAATTAAGGACTGTTAGTATAAGGGGGAACATCCCCTGAGACCCGAGACCGCAACATGCCCTCCCCCTAAACCCTAAACCCTAAACCCTAAACCCTAAACCCTAAAACCTAAACCCTAAACCCTAAACCCTAAACCCTAAACCTTAAAACCCAAACCCTAAACCCTGAACCCTAAACCCCTAACCCCTAAACCCTAAACCCCAAAACCTAAAGCCTAAACCCCCGAAGGCATAAACAACCCCGTCGCAGGTTTCCGCAGACATGGCCAGAGCCACAGCCTGGCGGGTGCAGTACCATTTGAGTCTTTATCATGTTTTGGGGGCCACATTCTACGTTTATTCTTTCCAGCGAGTATTGTGACGTTATTTTTGTTAGCGAGTTGATTTATTTGCATACTGTTGAGTAACGGTTATCATGAGATGAAGTTGTGGTCAGGCTGTACGTCAGAATGCAGCCAGGATCTAGGGCATAGGGTTTATAGGTTTAGGACTTTTGAATGTCAGGTTTCAGGGATTCAGGAGCAGCCTCTGTGCACGCTAGCCCGACCTGGATTGTTTTTGGGGTTCAGGGTTTAACCCCTGACCCGAATATATACTTGGGCCCCAAAGTCCTAATTATATAGGAGGCACTTTGAGGCCCAAGTACTTCCTTTCGGTACATCGACCGTTAGGGTGAGCCCTAGTTGAACCCTAAACCGGTCTTAGGGTTTGTTTGGGGTTTAGGGTTTAGGGTTTAGGGTTTAGGGTTTAGGGTTTAGGGTTTAGGGTTTAGGGTTTAGGGTTTAGGGTTTAGGGTTTAGGGTTTAGGGTTTAGGGTTTAGGGTTTAGGGTTTAGGGTTTAGGAGCAACCGAGGCGCCTTTGAAGGTGTATCTGTAAGGCATGCAATAGATAGGACATAGAAACATGTGGGCCCGTAGATTTTGTATCTGCAGAGTCAAGGACCCCACACTGTATCTCCGAGCTCGGAAACATGGTAGGGTAAGCTCTGAGCGCCCCAGCTGCAAGCCTAAACCCTAAACCCTAAACCCTAAACCCTAAAACGCCTAAACCCTAAACCCCGAAACCCAGTTCTAGGGGATTCCTTTGAGGGGAGATATTGGGACATGCACGGTGCCCTAAATCCCTGCAGGTCGACCTTCGAGCCGTAGGGTTTAGGGTTTAGGGTTTCGGGTTTAGGGTTTAGGGATTAGGGTTTAGGGCTTAGGGTTTGGGGTTTAGGGTTCCTCTGCGCCTGAAACTGAGGACCTGTAGGCCCACAACAGTCACATAAACCTTATGGGTGGTAGGATGGATGATAGAAATCCTGCATGACTCCAGCCACCGACACACCAACCTGCCTACACACATCCCCTGCGCACCCCTTAGTTTCAATGCTGACTGGGCGCCTAGGGTGCGGGATTTCCATGATTCGCGCTGCGGGGTTTCTGGGACTGGACTCTGTGTCAATGTTAACATCAGGGGCGGCAAGGGGGCTGGACTTTATTCGAGACTGGGCTGTATTCGAAACTGATGCAGAATTTCCATCATCAACAGTGGCAACTCGTTTGGCCGCTCAAACCTCTTCAAAATAGGCGTCTTCAGACCCCTAAACGACTTGACCGCTCAGACCTACAAGGTTCTGGGTTTGGGTTTCAGTCCTACCCTGCTGTCTCACTCCCAAGTGCAATCTGCAAGCAAAAGAACCAAGCTGCTTCGCTTAGCTCTGCACCCCTAAACCCTAAACCCTAAACCCAAAACCCTAAACCCTAAACCCTAAACCCCAAAGCCCTTGAAAACCCAAGGCTAGGAGCTTGTGACCCCCAACTCCTCCAGCGGCAATCGCGTACTCCAAGCCCCGCACACCTTCTGTTCATGGAGCTCCCGAAACATTCCCCGCTTAGGGTTTAGGGTTTAGGGTTTAGGGTTTAGGGTTTAGGGTTTAGGGTTTAGGGTTTAGGGTTTAGGGTTTAGGGTTTAGGGTTTAGGGTTTAGCCCCAAAGTTTCCACTACTACTTTGACTTTAACTCCTAAATTCTTGAGGGTACCTGTTTGGAGGGACCCGATGATCTCAAGAGTTGCGATTTTGAGTAAGCAAAATGCTGCTGCCATCGGATAGAAGACTGTTGGAGACTGCAACAGCCAGACTTTCTCGACATGCCTAACGATGCACGCCCGATGTTAGCTCAAGACCGACCATTTCGGATTGCACGGCGCGCTTTCTTTCGTCCATCTGAATCGACGCACATGGAATGTTGTTTGTCAGTGTAGGGCAAAGCAATTCACCTGAGCCGGCTAATGTTGGCCTCGTTTTAATACCCCCCCCCCCCGTCTCATTTGATTTTTGTTTCCGCCGCCCCGCCTTTTGACGGGGGGGGGGGGGGGGGGGGGGGCTGTTCTTAAGAAACCTGACCAGCCTGCACCCGTACCCTGAACCTACCTCACCTGGACCCTAAACCCACCCTGAACCTGATATGAGTCGGGATGTTGAACCCCAAGCCCCACTCTGACAACCTGGGCTCCAGGCTCTAGTTCAAGGCCCGGGCAATCGCTTCAGACGGGAAATTCTCTATGGAACCCCCCCCCGGCCCTGGGCCGGAATTTCTTATTATTGAGGGGGGGTTTATAATTGAGTTCCGGGATCCGAATTCTTTAATTACGGGGGGGGGGGGGGGGGATTATAAAACGCTGGTCAACATGATGCCAGGTACGCGCTGCGCAACGATAGCTCCATTGGTCAAGATGTGTCAGCTTGGTGTCGGGCTTCTCCAGCAAGCAGCACTGTCACACCGGATGTTGCTTTCAGTTCGTGGCAAGAACGTTTCAGTCGCCTGCAGACCTCACATGGGCAGTCTCTTGAAGCGTTTTTTTGCCTTCAATGAGACTCCGTGTTACATTGCCAGCCCACACAGGGCCCATAATTGTGCAGTTTAAGTTGTTGGGTACCAAGTCGCGGGTGTTAAGTGGCCAATAGCCGACAGCTCCCAGGATGTTGGGTTTCCAGCACGGAGCGCACTAAACCGGACTGCCACATGGGTTAATTCTCTGGATGAGGGTCCCTTCCTTTTCTTTTGACCCCAGAAGAGAGGCTTTGTCATTGTCATGCCTAAGAGTATGCGATGCAGAGGCAATGCAGAGCAATGTCACTAAGGCTACCATTGCCGGACAGGCTGGTCATTGGAGGGCACCTTTCTCTCTGTGTCCTGCTCATGTTTGTTTGTGTCAGGCTGTCCATTGCAATTACAAAGGCCTCGGACGGTTTCGGGACAAGTAGGCCCGAATTCGATTTCATGTATGTTGGGCATTGTTGCTCATTGCGCTTGGTGTACGGATAATAAGCAATCTCTCGACATGTTTGGCGAGAAGCTTTCGGGAACTTTGTAGCAGTAAAACTTGCGTGAGCTGGCCGCCAGTTTCGTACTGCGTCCGGGCGCCATCAGCTCGACTTCAACAAAGGCCTAATGCCCTTAACCCTAAAAGTTTGGCATGGCATGATTTGGAGCATGAAGGGCCCAAGCCTCTTTTGTGTTCTTGCCTCCGCCTCCCTGGCCGCCGGTTGTGCAGCAACGTTTCCTGGCGCGCGCCTGCTGGGCGCCCAAGGAAAGGGTTATCGCGTTTAGGGTTGTAGGGTTTAGGGTTTCAGTAAGGGTTTAGGCTCAGGGTCAAGGAAGAAGACAGGAGCCACACATCCATGATGTACTGTTGTCACTATGATGGGAAAGACCTATGACAGTAGGAACGAAAATATACATCCAGAGACATATGTAGGAACTAGCAAGTTGTCGTGGTTATCCAGATGATGTATATACATACATACATCATCTATGTACCGGTGACTGCTGTTTCAGGCTTATGTATGTGAGGGCTCCTTGTTCTCCTGGCGCCGCCCTCAGAAGTAGGAGGCTTTCTGGCTCAGCCCTCACTGTGTATACGTATACATACATATATATATATATATATATTTATATTTATTGAATGGCTACCGCCAGTGCCGCCGACACCCAGCAAAGCAAGAGTTGAGTCGAAGCCCGCGCGCGCGCGCGCGCACACTGGACCCTAAAGGCCCGAAAGCCAAAAAAATAGACCCTCATCTCAGGTGTTGGGATTGCGGGGCTTAGGGTTCAGGGAAGAGAGTGTAGGTTGTAGAGTCTAGGGTTTGAGTACTCAACGGGGGGGGGGGGGTGGGACGGGGGCGGTGGGGGCGGCGTTTGAGCCCCCCTCTAAACCCCGATGCCCTAAACCCTAAACCCTAAACCCTAAACCCTAAACCCCAGTAGCCCCCTTCCCGCCCTGTCCATACCCCATGGATCTCTCAGATCTCCCACCAAAGCCACCCTAGAAGTCCTAAGGCCCACACATCACTCAGGCTTACTGGTTTGACCCTAAACCCTAAACCCTAAACCCTAAACCCTAAACCCTAAACCCTAAACCCTAAACCCTAAACCCTAAACCCTAAACCCTAAACCCTAAACCCCAGATTCTGAGCCAGGCTCGGGACCCTCGTCCTGATTTTCTTGCTGCGCCCGTGCGGCTGGATGTGAGGGAACCCAAAACTGAGGGGTGCCTGTGGACAAGGCATTGTTTAGGGTTTAGGGTTTAGGGTTTAGGGCTTATAGCGATTTAGGGCCTTACCTGGAGTACTATGCTTTAGTGCTTTTCTTGGTTCAGGTTTCCTATTATAGCTACTTGTCCCTAAGAAGTGTTAACTTTTTTCCCAGGGTCAGAGTAGGGTTTAGGGCCTTACGTTAAGAACCGCGATCGTCCATCTTTGCACGTTATGATACGCGCACCCCTTATAGGATTCTTAGGTAACCTACAAAGAAGGGTCTAGGGCAACTGGGTTTAGCGTCTGAGGTTTAGGGTTTTGGGGGCTTAAGGTTCAGGATTTTGGGTGCAAGTTCATGGTTCGGGGTTTCTGGTTTAGGGTTTAGGGTTTAGGGTTTAGGGTTTAGGGTTTCTGGGTCTGCGATTTGGGGTTTAGGGCTTAAGCCCTAGCTTTTGTTGGCTTTGGGGAGTTGCTCTGTACGAGCTGGGGCCTTCCAGCGACTTTTGGAGGTTTCCTCGTAAGAGTCAACCTGTTGTAGACCAATCCGCAGTTCGGGTGTCGGACTTGATGTTGGGAGGTGTTGGGCTTCTTGAATATTGGTTCAGAAGTTTAAGGGTCTGCCGGTTTAAGTATTGCAGGTTTGGGGGTCCTTCAGAAGTAGAGGATTACCCTGAACCCTAAACCCCTAGACCCTAAACTTGAAACCCTAAACCCTAAACCCCAAACCCTAGGCCCAAAACCCGAAACCCTAAACCTTAAAGCCTAGACCCTAGACCCTAAACCCTGAACCCTAAACGCTAAACCCTAAAGCCCAACCCCCTAAACCCCCTAAACCCCCTAAACCCCCTAAACCCCCTAAACCCCCTAAACCCCCCCCCTAAACCCCCTAAACCCCCTAAACCCCCTAAACCCCTAAACCCCTACACCCCCCCCCCCCCCCCCCTACACCCCCTAACCCCTAAATCCTAAACCCTAAACCTAAACCCATGGCAAGCCTGGCCGAGGATAAAACGGGTGCCATCCCGACGACGCTGGCCCGTCGCCTTTGCGACGGTCCGGGGCAGGGAGGGGTTTAGGGTTTAGGGTTTAGGGTTTAGGGTTTAGGGTTTAGGGTTTAGGGTTTAGGGTTTAGGGTTTAGGGTTTGGGGTTTAGGGTTTAGGGTTTAGGGTTTAGGAGGGTTTGGGTTTGAGTCAGGGTTGTGCAAGAAAGTTCTGTGTGGAAACCTGAGGTGCTCGATCGAGGAGTTTAGGGCTTAGGGTTCAGGATCTTCGTACCCTTTTTTCCTTTTCCCTCAACCCTAAGCCCTAAACCCTAAACCCTAAACCCTAAACCCTAAACCCTAAACCCTATACCCTATACCCTATACCCTATACCCTCAACCTCACACCCCAAGTCCTGTATTGGGTACCGTCATTCCCTGCCGTTGGGGCATAGATCCCTGTTAATGTTGACCTGCCTTTAACAATTCCCGGAGGGTTGTTTGTGCATACGGCGGTGTAACGTACCTGGTTTCTGCTACTTTTCTTGGGGGGGAGGGTGGGGGGGGGTGGGGGGGGGGGGGGGGGGGGGTGGGGGGGTGGGGGTGGAGGGGGGGGGGGGGGGGGGGGGGGGGGGGGGAGGGGGGGGGGGGGGGTGGGGGGGGGGGGGGGGTGGGAATAAGAACATCATTCATATTGCATGCATGCCCAAAACACTGGTATTTACAGCGTTTTCGCTTCTTTGTACAACAGACTGCACAAGGATGTGGAAGAAGAAAATCTGTCACAAGCGTCCAGCCTTTCGCGACCATGCCCAACACACGTCCCGCAAAAACCGTCAAAGTCCTGAAATTTGGCAAATGCGTTTTCGGAAATGCAAGCCTCCAAAAAACACAGCTGCAGAGGCGCTGTCTTGGCAGAAATGCATGAACACATCGCAAATTACAGTGTTTGCCGCGCATGCACACACCAAAGCTGTGAGACTCGCGGCACGACTGCACACACAGCAAAGGAAAGGTCCCATAGCGCTCAAAGGCCCCAACAACAAAATGACCCCAAAATCTTGCAAAAACCCAATGTTTCGTAAAAACGACATACGAAATCACGCCTTTCCAACAACTCCCAAAATAGGTCTGCCGCCTAGGCGAAACGCTAACTTTAACAAAAGATAGGGTACGGTTCCACGGCGGCGGGTTGTTTTTGGCAAGAGAACATTAAGCCAAACCAAAGGATTTCCGGAGGTTGCCGGGGAATCAGGCAACACTCCAACCGGAAGCATGCCCGCGGTTTAGTTTAGGGTTTTAGGGCGTAGGGTTTAGGGTTTCGCGTTTAGAATTTAGGGTTTTAGGGTTCAGGGTTACCCTAAACCCTGAGCTCCGTAGGTTACGGCAAGTGCGGACCTCCAAGCATTATAACTGCAAGCCTTCAAATTCCCCAAACATCCGGGACCATGGCCAAACCCCCAAGAGAACAAACCTGCTGAAACAGAAACTGCAAACATTCATTTATATGTTTGCGGTTTAGGGCCCTAGACCCTAAACTATAAACCCTAAACCCTAGGTCCTCAACCCTAAGCCCTAAACCCAAAGAGCGGTTCAGGTCGTTAGGGTAACCCTACATCCTGAACCCTAAACCCTAAACCCTAAACCCTAAACCCTAAACCCTAAACCCTAAACCCTAAACCCTAAACCCTAACCCTAAACCTGAATAGTACTTCCCTACATCCTGAATCCCAAAAGCCGAAGCCCTGCGACCAGACTGTGGCGCTGAGCGCCTTGTTTCTCGCCACCGCACTTCAAGCGCCCCTGCAGGCCGCGCCTTCGGTTTAGGGTTAGGGTTCAGGGTTTAGGGTTCAGGTTTAGGGTTTAGGGTTTAGGGTACAGGGTTTCAGGGTGCAGGGTTCAGGCTTTAGGGTGTAGGGTTTAGGGCATATATGGGGGTCTACGAAAATAGGGCCCAAATTGTAGAATGCCCTAAAAAATAGGACCACAATGAGGTACCCTACTTTCGGATACCACCATATCCCAAAGCCCAAAGTGGTGCAGTCAAAAGAAATGTATACCAAACATGCGTCAGGAAATACTAGTATGTGTGTGTGCTTTGCTTACATACAAAATGCTGTTGTTCATACATACCTACGTATGTGGTGATGCTAGAAGAAGTTCCGCCCGTCCAGTCTCGTTTTTGGGTAGAGCATCAGCACTGCTCTCACAGGTAGCAGCACTAGAATAGCAAGTAGCATTGGAGTTTGTTCGGTGCTGCTGGCTCCCATCTCAAGTTCACAGTTAGCAGAGTGTGCTGGCAGGTGCAACATGCTGACTAATTAGCACTACCATAGAATCATTTCAAGGGCCGCAATGTTTTCAGACTGCAAACCAAACGCTGGTTATTGCACGCACGCATGTTTTCCCTTTCACCAGATAGTTCTCCTTTACCGCCCAGGATCGTGTTTCTGCAAGAAATGGTTCATCTTGGGACTTGCCTGAATTACTTTACAGTAGCAAACTTTTAGTCGGGAGATGTGCCAGTACCTAAACAGAACCTTCAACCGCTTAAACCAAAAAACTTGAAGCCCTAAACCCTAAACCTAAAAAGGCGATGAAGTAAAATCGAAGATCAGGTGAAGGAACCTGCGCTGGCCTTGCCCTGGCGCTTCGCGGCTTACGACCCAGGTGCCGCAGGGGCCGCGTCAGCTTTCCGCAGGGTACAGGGGTTTAGGGTTTAGGGTCAGGTTTTGGGGGTGAACGAGGGTTTTGAGTTTAATGAACCCTAAACCCTCAACCCTAAACCTTAAACCTTTTGGGTTTGAGTTTTGTTTTTTTTTTTTTTTTTTGGGGGGGGGGGGGCCCTAAACCTTATGCAAACCAGTCGGGCTAGGACCTGGCGAGGCCCTCTCATTCTCGTAAGGTTCCCTTCTCAGCCCTTTTCAGAACAACGGGTACTTTTTTGTTGTTGTTCTTTCTCTTTTTGGGATTTAATTTAGGATTTATGGCTTAGGGTTAGCCACCAGGTTTGTGGGGAACCTGGCAAACAGGGTACCTTTTGGATTCTCAGCATACTTTCGCTTGTAGTCGCGGCAGTTCTGGGTTCAGGTCTCACGTTCGAAAGGGCTATTTAGGGGTTCGAGTGTAGGGTTGAGGGTACGTAGTGTAGGGTTAGATGTCTATATAGGGGTTTGGGGTTTAGAGGGCCTTATATGGTTCAGGTGTACAGCTAACCCGACCCTCAAACCCTAAAAGCCCCAAACTGCGAATCTCAAGCCCCGACCCCCTAAACTCTTGCCCCAAAACCCTATTAAGCCCCTGAGCACCTGAACTGTGGGTTTACCCTGAACAGAACTTGGCTGCTACATTTGGAAGGCCAATTTTGGGGGCTGAAGAACATCCTGTTTAGCAGAAGCCCCTGAACCCTAAACCCTAAACCATAAACCATAAACCCTAAACCCTAAACATTACGGGGCCAGCCTAGCATGATAGGGTTCTCAAGAGAGGGGGCTTCAAGGGGGGCAGGTACCTGGGCAACCCTTTAGGGAAGTTGAGGAGCCTCAGGGAGTAGTAGGTTTAGGTTTTAGGGTTTAGGGTTTAGGGTTTAGGGTTTAGGGTTTAGGGTTTTGCCTGAAGAACCCAACAATCGTACAGCCCTCGTTTTAATTTCTTGTCCCTTGTGGCGGCTCGTTCAGGAGGCGTTACAGAAGGTTGGGATGTTACCCCCTAAACCCTAAACCCTAATAATCGGGGTACTATATTCCCTATTGAGGGCTGTTGGTATAACAGGGAACTCACCAAGATGAAGGGCCTAAATTTGAGGCTCTAAGGCTTTAGGGGTGTAGTTGTATTTTGGCCGCTTTTGTCGCGCGTTTCTCTCTCTGTCTCCCTCTCTGTGGGCCTCTTCTTGAGCACTGTTTAGGGTGTACCAGATGCGCCCAAAACCAGGACGTCATATGGAACAGTTTGGGGCTGAGGGTTGTAGGGCCCCCCCCCCCCCCCCGATGTCCCGGCAACACGTTGCTGCAGAAGCCTTGCCATTCGGGATCGAAGGCGGGTGAGATCTGGCGCTTAGGTTTCTTTGTGGTGCTTTACTGTAACTTTAGATCCTTGCCCTTTTTGGGTTGATTGAGTTTCCTAGTAAGGCAGCTGAAATTTTAATTTTATAGCTACCCTCCTAAGTGCAGCCAAGGTTTGTTTATCCCGTCTACACTCCAAAAAGCCAACCACACAAAGACAAAACAAGTAACCAACAAACAAACCCGTACAAACCTAAGCCTCGAAATCCCCAATCCCTCCTTCACCCCCCCAAAAAAAAAGAGAGTGAAGCAACAACGATAGGGGTTTAGGGTTTAGAGTTTAGGGTTTTAGGGTTTAGGGAAACCAAGCGTCATGCGCCGGGCCGTCCTTCGATGGCAGTCTCAGCGGCTGTCACATCGAATCGAGGCAGCCCTGGCGCAAGAGGCGGTCGAGGGCTTCGGGTTTCAAGCAGGCCCAAAACTAAAAAACCCGAAACCCGAAACCCTAACCCCTAAAACCCTATAGTGGCGACCCAGCAGTTAGAATATTTTTTTTTGGCGTTTACCCTCCGCCCAGTACATTTTAAGTTTTTTTCAAAAAAATTACCATCGCGCAAAACTAGCAGTTAGAATATTGTTTTTCCAGAACTAGCGGTTAGAATATTTTCCAGAACTAGCAGTTAGAATATTTCTTGGCCAAGACTAGCAGTTAGAATATTCTTCCAGAAATTGCAGTCCTTTGTCTCTTTATCTCATCGAAAACCCTAAACCCTAAACCAGAACCCAAACCCTGTCTATATATATATATATATATATATAAACGCAAAACCCAAACCCTAAACCCCCCACCACACGGGGGCAGGGGGGGGGGGGGGGTATATGCACTTATATATACCGGGTCCGGTGTATGCTGGACCGTGGTGTGCCTACACTTCCGGGTTCGATGAAAGCTCCGGACCATGGTTTATACATAATTAGATATATTTCATATACAGAACACTAATATACCGGGTCCGGTGCATGCTGGACCGTGGTGTGCATACACTTCCGGGTTCGGTGAAAGCTCCGGACCGTGGCTTAAGCATATAGACATATACATAACACTTATAATGGCTACCGCCAGTGCCGCCGACCCCCTCCAAGGGGGGCCAAGGTTCATGAGGGGCATGGGCGGCGGGGCAGGGTGCGTGAGGGGTAAGGGGTAGGGAGCTGGGTCCATGAGGGGTAGGTCAAGGGGATGGAGAGTGGGAGCATGGGCCAAAGGGGAGTAGGCGGAGCTGGAAGGGCGGAGGGCGGAGCGGGCGGAGCGGGCGGAGCGGGCGGAGGGCCCGGGCATGCACTGGGGCCTTTAAAGTCAGCTGAGAAGCCACATCCATGCGCCGTGGACCATGAGCCAATGGGGCCAGGAGCCATGGGTCCAGTGGGGGGCGGGGTGCGTGGGGGGGTGGGGGTGGGGTTGTAAGTGTGGGTGCGTGGGGGTGGGGGTGGGGGTTGGGGGTTGGGGGTGGCAGGGTGCGTGCGGGGTGGGGGTGGGGGTTGGGGGTGGGGGTGGAGCAGGGGCCATTTTTTTGAGCAGCATTGGCAGCCATGCAGGTCGAGGGATGAAGAATGGGACCAGGAGCCATGCATCCATGAGAAGCATGGCGGGGTGCGTGGGGGGCTTGGGCAAGGGGGGAGTATGCTAGGACCAGCATTGGCAGCCATGCAGGTCGAGGGATAAAGAATGGGACCAGGAGCCATGGGTCCATGAGAAGCATGGCGGGGTGCGTGGGGGGCTTGGGCAAGGGAGGGAGTATGCGGAGCGGGAAGGGTAGAGGTGGTGGGGGTAGGGGCGGAGAAGCCACCTGCTTGGGCCGTGGACCATAATGAATGGGGGGCCAGGAGCCATGGGTCCATGAGGGGCATGGGTGCGTGAGGGGTAAGGGGTAGGGAGCTGGGTCCATGAGGGGTAGGTCAAGGGGATGGAGAGTGGGAGCATGGGCCAGAGGGAAGTAGGCGGAGCTGGAAGGGCGGAGGGCGGAGCGGGCGGAGGGCTGCACTGGGGCCCTTTAAAGTCAGCTGAGAAGCCACATCCATGGGCCGTGGACCATGAGCCAATGCGGCCAGGAGCCATGGGTTCAGTGGGGGGCGGGGTGCGTGGGGGGTGGGGGTGGGGGTTGGAAGTGTGGGTGGGTGGGGGTTGGGGGTTGGGGGTGGCAGGGTGCGTACGGGATGGGGGTGGGGGTTGGGGGTGGGGGTGGAGCAGGGGCCATATATAGGACCAGCATTGGCAGCCATGCAGGTCGAGGGATGAAGAATGGAACCAGGAGGGCCAGGAGTGGGGGGGCGGGGTGCGTGGGGGGTGGGGGTGGGGGTTGGAAGTGCGGAAAGGGGGTGGGGGTTGGGGGTGGGGGTGGAGCCATGACGCCAGGAGCAAGGGGCCGGAGCAGCTCAAGGGATGAAGAATGGGACCAGGAGCCATGGGTCCATGAAAAGCATGGCGGGGTGCGTGGCGGGCTTCGGCAAGGGGAAAGTATGCGGAGCGGGAAGGGCGGATGGGCGGGGAGTGGGTGCGTGGGTGGTGGGGGTAGGGGCGGAGGGGAGCCATGGGGCCAGGAGCCATGGGTCCACGAGGGGCATGGGCGGCGGGGCAGGGTGCGTGAGGGGCCACATCCATGGGCCGTGGACCATGAGCCAATGCGGCCAGGAGCCATGAAAAGCGGGGTGCGTGGGGGGTGGGGGTGGGGGTTGGAAGTGTGGGTGGGTGGGGGTGGGTTGGGGGTTGGGGGTGGCATGGGGTGGGGGTTGGGGGGCCAGAAAAAAAGGACCAAGCAAAGGGTGTGTGTGGGGGGCATGGGGGCATGAAAGGAGACCGCGTATGGGTCAGAGGAGAGCAAGAGGGGAGCGGAGTGGGCGGGCGTGCCGTGCATGAGGCCATGGGGCCATGGGGGCCGTGGGCCTTGGGGGCCAGGCCAGCCTCAAGTCGCGACCATGGGACCTTGCAGGCCATGGGGGCCATGAGGGAGCTGGGTCCGTGAGGGGGCAGGTCAAGGGGATGGAGAGTGGGAGCATGGGCCAAAGGGGAGTAGGCGGAGCTGGAAGGGCGGAGGGCGGAGCGGGCGGAGCGGAGGGCCCGGGGGCATGCACTGGGGCCTTTAAAGCCACATCCATGGGCCGTGGACCATGAGCCAATGGGGCCAGGAGCCATGGGTCCAGTAAAAGGCGGGGTGCGTGGGGGGGTGGGGGTGGGGGTTGGAAGTGTGGGTGCGTGGGGGGGGCCATGGGGGCCGTGGGCCTTGGGGGCCAGGCCAGCCTCGGGTCGGGGACTGCTTCGGGTCTAGGGACATGGGGCCATGGGACCTTGGGGCCATGGGGCCATGAGGGAGCTGGGTCCATGAGGGGGTAGGTCAAGGGGATGGGAGCATGGGCCAGAGGGGAGTAGGCGGAGCTGGAAGGGCGGAGGGCGGAGGGGGCGGAGCGGGCGGAGCGGGCGGAGGGCCGGGCATGCACCGGGGCCCTTTAAAGTCAGCTGAGAAGCCACATCCATGGGCCGTGGACCATGAGCCAATGCGGCCAGGAGCCATGGGTTCAGTGGGGGGCGGGGTGCGTGGGGGGTGGGGGTGGGGGTTGGAAGTGTGGGTGGGTGGGGGTGGGGGTTGGGGGTTGGGGGTGGCAGGGTGCGTACGGTAT